TCAGGGACCAACAGTGACGATGACTGACAAGAGACAGGAGAGACGAATGATGAAGGACGAGGACGACGGACGAACTTCTTGAAGATGGACAAAACTGTGACGATAGGACGACTGGAGATGACATCGGAAACTGGGAGCGAAGCCACGCAGGACGAATCCAGAAGTTGAAGTTTACAACAATTTCCATTACCGCTGCCACCAATGTTGTAACTGCCTTTCTACCTGCTCCCAGTCCCGTGCCATCTCCATACTTGTACAAAGGGACGACGATAACTACATTTAGAAGACTATATTTGTGACAAGCCGACGGAACCACAACTATACATGAGCCGCAGCCAGCAAAAATGGTACTATAGGGTGAATTTTTCGAAAACGGTTTTTTTTGCTCCAAAACACTTCTTCATATGTGAATTATCATTCCTGATAGTTTGAACGTATTCTAAGGTGCTGGGGGTGGTTAAATGCCACTATATGTACAAGGGTGTCCAGATTGGCAATTGTTGTCAGCTTACTTCTCCATTAGAGTTAGTTATAAGTCCTCTGCCATGCCCTCGGCCTCTTCTTGGCCTGTGACATTGCTCCAGGGTGCTTCTGAGTCTTGGCCCAGGTATTGCTTGATCTCCTTGTTCAGGTACAGCAGCCTTGTACAGCAGCCCTGATACCACCTGGTGGCAAGGTTGTGGGCAGGCCGCTTGCAGCGACAGCAGCAGAGTTGGTGGACGAGCGCATTTGCCTTATCTCAACCTCATCTGCTTGACAGTGCTTCTTCATGCAAACGACACCAGGAGATTCCCGTGCAAACTTGAAGTGCTGGAAAGTTGTTATGCGTGGAATCGGCGTGAACATCTTGTCCAGGTGTTTATCCCACGCGTACCAGGTCCAGCTGTAGCGTTCTGCTAGGTTGCCTTTGCAGGAGGACTCCACTGCTTGGACGACATCTGCCATCGAATCAACTTCGGAGGCTCGGAATTTCTGCATCAAACAGTACAGCCGAACGTGGCGTCAATACTACATCTAGTATGACCAACTCGCATGAAAGAAATTTGAATGCTGGTATTTAGGCCTGATAGCACACGCCAGCTGAAGTATGCCATGACTGATCGGTTCTTGTTCTGCCCAACGCAGTTATCAGCATGAAACATCAAGGATGGCTCCTTGGAACGATTCTCCAAATAATGGTGGAGCATGCTGATAACCGCGTTGGGACCATGAGCAAGCCGTCCATCACAGCCAATGCTCTCTGCTTCATTGAACAAGTAATTTACTTGCTGATTGCGTGCCTCATCACAAATTCCAAATAGTTGTATCTTAAATCTGGACTTGAAATACAATGGGCCCACCTGGCGAGTGTGCTGAGGTAGCTCAAGCTGTTGGGCGAAGTCGAAAGTGATGTGGGTAGAAGATGCCTGTGTATCTGTATCCGTTGTTTGGCTTAGCTCATCCCTGGCATCACTAATTGATTTGTTGTAGTACTGCCGTTCATCATCAGCCTCCTGCATGTGAGCTGAAAGTTGCTCCATGGCCAGGCGGGTGGTCTCCTCTGTCTTTGCATGCCTGACATTCTCACGCAGCCGCTCACAGCGTGCGCAAACATCAGATCTCTGCTTCATGATGCATATATCTGGAGTATTAGCTTTCCAAAGCCGTTTGAACGTGGTCAGACTAATAGGATGCGCACCTTCAGAATCACAGTATAGACAATGAATTTCTTTCTTTGTACAACTAGCAGGAAGATATGTGGGCGCCTTTGGTGCGCGTCCCCTGGGTGCTGCTGGTTGTGGCATTCCATAACGAGATGCATAGTTTTTGATAAACTGCACAGCATTGTCAGCCACTGCAGTAGGTAAGATATTGGGCGGGGGTTTGCCCTTACTCTTGCTGCTCTGTGGCGTTGTAAGTAGATGTTCAGCGTCTTCTTGTAATTTACGCAGTAGAGTATGCGACAATCCATGTGCATCTTGAAACACTTCACGGCAGACGACAACACCAAGCATTGCATATGTGAACGAAAATTTGCGAGAACTTGCAGTTGCAGCTCCAGCGCTGGGGCAAGATATTTTCATTATCGCTGCAAGTTTGCCTAGCACGTACCGCTTCAGCTCACTCCTCTTCATTGCTCTCAAGTTACATTCCAGTTCCTCGAGCTGGTCCGGAGGTAGCTTGGTCCAATGATTCACTTTGCATTTGCAACCGATGTCCAGTGCGTCGCGTATCATCGCCACTGCCGCTCCACTTGCTGCACTCGTTCCATCGTTAGTGGTATCCTCTGCATCGCTGAAATACTCGTCATCGCTGCTCTGCGACTCCAGCGGTAAACAGGTCCGCTTTTCTGCAGGTGTGTCCGAATCTGAGTCGTCGGAGCCAGACGATTCGGCGATCGTATCACTGCTGTTTAGGCCGTAAAAACTTTCGTCATGTTCCCGTAGCGCAGCGAGGTCGTCAACGCTCGCACCGCAAATTTCTAGGCTTCGTCTTCTACTCGTGCATGCCATGACACTCTGTGGCTTCTCTACTTTCAGTACGCGTCTTGCATGCACTCACACTTGTTGAAAGATGAAGTTGCGCCACTTGATACTGGACAGGAGACTGCACTCTTGAACATTATCCTTTCATGTTGTCACATGTTGCACGTTGATACTATTAGTGTATTGTAGTTACGAATTGTGTACAGAACTGTCACATGCTGCAAGGGCAGTATTGTCAAGACATGCTAGGTCGCTTGCAATATTTGGTGCGTTGCGTATTACTGCTATGTATTTCGCGAGTGTAATAATTATTTTGTTAGTCTGTTAGAATTACATCACGAGTGCATGTCTGTTACGTCTACGTCGAGACACATTTTATTATACAGTAATTGCTATGCGTGTTCGTACCACGCCATGTTCACGAGCGGAATATCTTGTGAATTGTTCTAATGTATTATAATTATAAGTAGAATTGTTGACACACTAATTGGTTGCAATGTACATGTACTTACTAGTACTTGATCCGTTGCATTATCGCCATCCGCGGCAACTCCGCTACAATCTACTTGGCGAAACTTACTCTCGCTGACAGGGTGTGCTGTCACCCTGTCGCTGGGTGCAAGCACCCCTTGACAGACACTGTTTTCACCTCCGTAACCAACAATTCTTTATTCTTTCACTCCAGCACATTGCAAGTCATTATTAGTTTCTGCTTGTTCTGCATTTCAAATTATTGCTTTTCTTTTCGTTGCATGCACTCGTACTCGTCCGCGCTGCACGCGGACTTTGGCAGTCGCCATATTTAGTATCTCTATGGCTACGATGATCATGCATTTTCTGTACGCTGCATTTTCTCTCTATGCCACGTCGTTGTGTGCATGCATGCAGCGCAAGCCAAATGCACGCACGTGTTGTAACTCGCTTTCTCTTCCTGCTCCCAGTCCCGTGCCATCTCCACACTTATACAAAGGGACGACGATAACTACATTTAGAAGACTATATTTGTGACAAGACGACGGAACCACAACTATACATGACGAACTGAAGACGAACACATGATGAACTCAAGAGGAAGACAGCTTTTCATACCACAGCAACATGCGCATGCACCAAGATGACGTACACACGACGTACACAAAATAACGTACTACAACATAACTCCCTCCCAAGAGTAGAATCTTCCTCGATTCTAATAATAAAACAGAGTAAAAAGAGGAAAAGATCACACAAATCACTCAATCATACCACACCAGTCACACCCAGAAATAAAATACCACTACAGATCATTAAAAAAACTCTGTCCGCCCACCCAGAACACCAGCCACGATCGCTGTCACACGTGTGGGAACTGATAACCTCAAAACTCTAACTAATGGTGTAATGCTTTACTCAACACACCACCTCACGATCACGCAAAAATTCTAAAATGTGAGAGCACAAATCATAAGAATAACAAAAAGAACAGAATCCACTGGCTCTGTGGGGGCCTCTAGTTATCCTCATAGAAGAGCAAATCAAAAAACAAACAGAACACACGCGCTGTGCGGGCGCCTCTTTACCCTCGAGGAGAGCAAATAATAAAGAACAAAATGTTGGGAGAACAGAAAATACACAACTCACATACTCATCACGTTCACAACACACGTACCCTCTCACCAACGAAACTCCTCACGCCGTCTGCCATGTCATCCGCCATCTCAAGGAGCGCTGCTCAGCGTCCACATCCTCACACTGCAGCCTTCACATTCCATCCTTCTTTTTTTCTGTTTCCGTTTTTCTTCTGGGCACAGTTTTACGTCGTGTCCGGGACCACCAGTGACGACGACTGACGACGACTGACAAGAGACGGGAGAGACGAATGATGAAGGACGAGGACGACGGACGAACTTCTTGAAGACGGACGAAACTGTGACGATAGGACGACTGGAGATGACATCGGAAACTGGGAGCGAAGGCCACGCAGGACGAATCCAGAAGTTGAGATTTACGAATTTCCATTACCGCTGCCACCAATGTTGTAACTCGCTTTCTCTTCCTGCTCCCAGTCCCGTGCCATCTCCACACTTATACAAAGGGACGACGATAACTACATTTAGAAGACTATATTTGTGACAAGACGACGGAACCACAACTATACATGACGAACTGAAGACGAACACATGATGAACTCAAGACGAAGACAGCTTTTCATACCACAGCAACATGCGCATGCACCAACATGACGTACACACGACGTACACAAAATAACGTACTACAACACACGCTGCACGTTTTGCTCAGGACAGCGATTTGGCGATCGTTGTTCGGTGTGTTTTTTGGTGTTCTTGTTGAAACGAGTGGTAATGTCGATTAAAGGAGTTTCTGGGTTTTTGTGGTCTGCCTGACGATGGTTAGTTGCGGGACCAAGTCGCACCGCAACATTTGGTAGCAGAGGATGGTTATCGAAGTAATAGTTGTAGTATAGTAGTCACGTCTAGGCAGTAGTACTAGAACTAGTAGTAAGAGTAAGACAGAGACTCAGTAACTGAAGCAAGAATGCCAGAAACCACGAAGAAGGAAAGAACACTGGCAAAGGCCCAGTTCACCAACAGCAGAAGAGCGCTGCTAGTAGAGATCAACAAGGATGAAGCGGACAAGAAGGAGATACTAAGGGCACTGGATGGCCTCAGTGCTCTTGCCACATCCACCATCGCCTGTTGTGTGGAAGGTGATGCCGCAGACTGGTATGAGGAAGTCCAGCTGTTGGAACAGCAATATGCCGAAGCGGTATCGAGAGCGGGGGATGTGCTGGAGCAGCTGAGAATAGAAAGGCCCAGCAAAGCCACCAGCATCAGCCACAGCCCCGCAACCAGAGAACGTGCGGCAAAAATCAGAGAAGTAAGGTCGTTGTTGAAAGAGAAACTGTACGACGAAGATGATGAAGAAGAGGAGGTACCAGGTGTGGATGTAAGTGAGAGTGCAGGTGTCTACCAGAGTAAAGTAAAAAACAACGCACCTGTAAAGCGTACATGTATGTCTGACACGCCCGCAACGTCAACCCAGGGAAGGGTCACGTCATCGTGGTCGGCGGTTACTATGGCAACGGTGTCGCCAGATCCGAAGGCATCTGAGCTTAGCCAAGCCAGAATGAAGCCAGAGCCATTAATAGCCAGAACTATGGCACCAAGCAGCACGGGTTCACAACGGGTACCCATGGCAACGGGTTTCGTGACTATGGCCACTGGCACAGCAGTCATACAGAGTACACCAAGTACATCAGCTACTACTAGGGACTTCACCCGGCGTACAGGTGCGCCATTGGCGTTCAGCCAGCAGTACCCCGCACCGAATCCGGCGTACACTGCACCGAATCCGGCGTACACAGCACCGAATCCGGCGTACACTGCACCGAATGCGGCGTACACTGCACCGAATCCGGCGTACACTGCACCGAATCCGGCACCGCAGCAGCAGGCTCAGTTGGCACCGCAGCAGCAGTCTCAGTCGGCATACACGTATACGCCTCTACAGTATGCACCGCAGCAGCAGTCCCAGGCAGCATACACGTACACTCCGCAACAGCAGCAGTTCCCGCCGTCATACACGTACACTCCGCAACAGCAGCAGTCTCAGCCGTCATACACGTCCACGTCGCAACAGTACCTACCGCAGCAGCAGCAACAGCTGCCATCGACGTAGACGCCACAATATCAGCCGCAGAACGTGCAACAGCCACAGTACCTGCGAACAAGTCAGCCACAGACAGACATCACCAAGCACATGAAGAAAGTTTCTATTGCCACGTTTGCCGGCGACAAACGGGAATACGAGGCTTGGAAGGCGGCTTTTGATGTATCCATTGATCAGCAGGCAACTTCAACAGAAATGAAGATGCTGCAACTTAGGCAGTACCTGTCTGGCGAAGCTCTGGCGGTCGTACAAAACCTGGGTTTCACGCCATCAGCATATAGTGCGGCACGCAGACGGCTTGAGAAGAGGTATGGCGGACAGCGGAGGTTGGTGGCCGTCCATATGCAAGAACTAGAGGACTTCCCTGCAGTAAAAAACAGAGCAGCAGACTTTGAGAAGTTTGCAGATTTGCTAGAGGTGGCGGCGGTAAAAATGACGGATGCCGGCATGACCAGTCAACTCGGTACGGGTACTTTGTATACACGTATGCAGAAGAAGCTTGTAACGGAAAACCTCGTCCAGTATCATCGCTGGGTGCAGGAGACCAATGCCAATGAATCTGTGACGACTCTTCTAGATTGGGTGAACCGAGAAGCCGAAATAATGGCTACAGCATCGGAAACCATTGACGGCATCGCCAGTACTGCCAGCAGCAGACAGCGACGTGGTGGTTTCAATGACCGGAAACCGAGAAACGCAGAGTCGTCCGGAAGAGTCTTCCTAGCAGAGAAGAAGAGCGAGAGCTGTGCCGCTTGCAGCGAGCAGCACCCCGTCTGGAAATGTCCGTCTTTCAAGGCAAAGACCATGGATGAACGATGGGACCTGGCAAAAGAGAAAAGGCTATGCTATCGATGCCTTGGGTCAGGTCACTGTGGAGCGCAGTGTCCCAGAACCAGACAATGCGGTGTGGATAAGTGCAGCGACACCCACAATTGGTTGCTGCATCGTAAACCGAAGTTCGACAAGGTACACAGCGAACCGGACCGCAGCACTGAAGGGGAGCGACCTTCAAGGCACAACGTCGGCAACGTTATGTCAGCGAGTATCGTCAGCGCAGCTCCAGGGTCACTGCGCACTGTGCCAGTGTTGTTGAGCAACAACGAGCGGACCACACGGGTCAACGCGTTCCTGGACGACGGCGCGACGCAGACGCTGATCAGCGCAAGTGCCGCAGGTGCACTTGGTCTCCGCGGGGAGACGAAGAGGATTACAATGTCTACTCTGAATGGGCACCAAGAAACTTTTCAGAGTATGCCAGTCACCGTCACACTGTCTGACTTGACCAACAAGACAAGCGTGGACATCTGTGCTAACACTGTACCAGCAGTATCTCGGTCGCTAACACCAGTAGACTGGGAGATTGTCAAGAAGAGCTGGCCACACTTGGAGAATGTCAAGTTCCCGAAGCTCAGTGATTGGTCGACAGTTGACCTTCTGATTGGTATTGACAACAGCAGCCTGCATGTATCGTTAGAAGAAGTCATCGGTGGTCCAGGTGAGCCAAGTGCCCGGAGAACACCACTCGGCTGGACATGTGTGGGTCCCATCAGTCAAACGGCGGGAGGCTCCCGGGTATCGGCCAGCGTGCACCATTGTCTGATGACTCAGTCAGACGCCGACCTCACTCAGCTGGTGAGGAAGTTCTGGGAAGTAGACAGTCAGCCCGCGGCAATTGGAGCGGCACTTCTAACCCCAGATGAGCGACATGCACAGGAGACGGTCGCAAAGTCGATCAAGCACATTGGAAGCCAATACAGTGTTGGCATTCCATGGAAGGATCACCCACGCGGAGCTAATGCTAGCTACCACACTGCTCTGAAGCGTTTGGCCAACACCGAGCAGCGGCTGAGGCGAGACGCAGCAGTCGGAGAAGTCTACGCCGCTACGATAGCGGAACACATCAGCCAGGGCTATGTGCGCCGGGTTGACGCCGCAGACGTCAATGACGGAAACGCGTGGTACTTGCCCCACTTCCCGATAGTCAAGCCGGACAAGACCACAACAAAAGTACGCATCGTGTTCGACGCCGCAGCGAAGTCGAACGGCAAGTCATTGAACGACTTCATCTTGCCCGGCCCCAAACTACAGCAAGACCTGGTGAATGTACTGGTTAGGTTCCGTCGTGAGCCGATAGCACTGGTCTGCGATATTGCCCAGATGTACCTCCGTATCAGCCTAAATCCAGACGACCGGCGCTACCATCGATTTCTGTGGCGCACAGACCCAAGTAAGCCACCGGAAGTTTACGAATTCTGCAGCGTGGTGTTCGGTGTCAATGCTTCGCCATTCCTAGCGCAGTACGTGTCGCAGCAGCATGCCAGATCGCTCAGCTCAGAGATGCCGCAAGCCGCTAGTGTCGTGCTGGACTCCACATACATGGATGATAGCATGACGTCAGCACCTGATGTTACAGCAGCCAAGTCCTTATATGCGGATTTGTCGGATCTCTGGGGCCAAGCGAACATGCACGCGCGGAAGTGGCTCTCTAACTCGGCGGAGGTTCTGGCGGAGATCCCACAAGCGGATCAGGCAAGTCAACTGGAGCTCACGGACGAACAGCTGCCGAACATCAAGACGCTCGGCGTCCTCTGGCAGGCCGAGATCGACATGTTTACATTTCAGTACAAGGTGCCAGATTTCACACGTCTGACGAAGCGGCAGTTTCTGCGTATTCTGGCAACCATATTTGATCCGCTCGGGTTTCTAGCTCCGTACATCGTCCGAGCCAAAGTCCTGTTCCAATCCATGTGGATCGAAGGCTTCGATTGGGACGCCGACTTGCCAGAGGATCTCGTCAGCGCAGCTGAAGCGTGGTGCGCCGAGCTACCGGATTTGAAAAGAGTTCAAATTCCGAGGTGCCTGCGACAATCAGCAGCGACAACAGCAACTAGCAGCGTGGAAGTGTTTGTGGATGCCTCCGAAAAGGCGTTCGGCGCAGTCGTCTACATCCGGCAGCAGTTCAGCGATGGCAGCGACTCAATGCGTCTCGTCGCGTCGAAGATGAAAGTCGCCCCGCTTGCTGTCCACAGTATTCCTAGGTTGGAATTGATGGCCGCAGTTCTGGGTTTGCAGCTAGTGAAGTCTCTTCTACCTCCGCTTGATCTCACAATGAGTACTGTCACGTTCTGGTCTGACAGTGCTGATGTCCTCTACTGGATTCGTGGACAGAGCCGAAAGTACAAGCCGTTCGTTGCCCACAGAGTCGGCACGATTCAGACAGCGAGTGATCCCGACCAGTGGAAGCATGTAGCTACTACCCGCAACCCAGCCGACCTGTTGACGCGTGGTATGTCTGCAAGTCAGCTCGCAGATTCCCAGTTCTGGTGGTGCGGTCCAGACATGTCCGGGTTACACACGCCGTCCCCAGGAAAGGCATTGTCAGCAACAGCGGCGGCAGAGCTGAAGAAGCCTGCAGTTGAGATAGCTCATTTCAGTTATCTGGCGATCGCCGCCTTGCCCGCATTGGATCCAGAGCGCTACAGCAGCCTCCTCAAGCTGGCCCGGGTCATTGCCTGGATCAATCGCTTCTCAAGCAACGCAAGACGCCTGAACACTGAGCGAGTGTCAGGCCCCCTGTCCGTAGATGAGATCCGCAGCGCCGAGTATGTCATCATACGTCAGTGCCAGCAGTCAGCCTTCCCAGAGGAAATCAGTGCTCTACAGCGGGGAAAGCCTATCTCTCCTAAGAGTGTGCTGAGCAGCTTACAGCCGCAGCTCGACGAAGATGGTATAATGAGGTGTGGTGGTCGGCTGCGCTATGCAGAGCATATTTCGGATGATGCCAGGTGCCCGATCATTCTGCCCCGCTCGAGCAGAGTAACCACTTTGATAGTGAAACGAGCACACGTCCGCCTGTTTCACGTCGGTGGAACCAACCAGACCTTGGCAGCGCTCAGCCAACGGTTTTGGATAGTTTCGGCCAGAGAAGCTATTCGTGAGTATGAGCAGCAGTGTCAAGCGTGTCGACGGCAGAAAGCAAAGACCCTGCAGCAGGTCATGGCTCCTCTACCGAGTCACCGTACGAAGCCGTCATTGAGTGCGTTCGCTACAACCGCGGTTGATTTCTGCAGACCATTCTTCACGAAGCAGGGTCGAGGACGAGCCCAGTGTAAGCGGTACATGGCTGTCTTTACTTGCACCGCTACGCGAGCAGTTCATCTCGAGCTGGTGAACGACCTCACCACCGATGGATTTCTCAACTGCTTGAGTCGGTTTGTCAGTCGTCGTGGAACGCCTACAGATATCATCTCGGATAACGGCACCAACTTCGTCGGCGCAGTCAATGAGCTGCAACAGTTGGTCGGCGAAGTCAACCACCAGCGAGTAGCCAACAAGTTGTCTGCTATTGGAGTGACTTGGCACTTTAACCCACCAGCAGCACCTCACTTCGGAGGAATTCATGAGTCCATGGTCAAGAGCGCCAAGAGAGCAGCCTACGCCATACTCACCCGAGCAGATATCACCGATGAAGAGCTAGCAACGTGCTTTGCCTCAGCTGAAAGCATGCTCAACTCGCGTCCCCTAACGTATCAGTCAGCTCACCCGTCGGACGACATTCCATTGACGCCAAACCACTTCCTCATCGGCCAAGTCGGTGGTCAGTTCGCACCAGCTTGCAGCGAAAGTAGCTTCAGCCCGCGCAGGCGCTGGCGCGCTGTGCAGGATCTGATTGGTCAAGTGTGGACTCGCTGGATGAGAGAGTGGGTACCTCTTCTCAACCCAGCCAAGAAATGGAGGCAAGAGTTGCCAGACCTGAAGGTCAACGACGTGGTGGTAGTGGCATCTAACGATACACCACGTGGGCAATGGCCGTTAGCACGCGTAATGGAAGTCTATCCCGGTAAGGATAACCATGTACGAGTGGTAAAGCTGCGTCTAGCAACCGGTAAGAGCCTAGTGCGGCCTATTGCTAAGCTATGTCCGTTGTGTTGAAGCCCCCCGCGGTTCAACAAGGTGGGGAGAATGGACAGGAGACTGCGCTCTTGAACATTATCCTTTCATGTTGTCAC